GTGGAGGCCTGTGCCCACCAGAAAAGTGAGAGTGGGACTGTCAGACATGTTGACTCCGGCACGGTGATGGATGGAGAGTGAGGTAAGACAGATGACATCGTCTGTCTGAGGCCGTGGAGGACTGCCGCTTGTCTTAACCTCTCAATATCAGAGAGCAAACTGAAGTTTGTTTTGCACTGCTCCAGTGGAGTGATTTAGACGGAGGGGTGAGGGAGACGTGGGTGTAGGTATGTTCACTGGAGGGTCGGGTCAGGTTTCTAAACACTCCCTTTGAAATTGAATAGCAACTATCCAAGACGCTTAAACCCAACTAGTCCAGTTTGGTTACAATCCTCCAAATGGAGGGGAGTCCAAACACAAACGCAACATAAATATCAATCAGGGTTTCCCTCAAGTCTGAAATATGAGCCAGGGATTGTGATCAGTGAGGAAGCAGGACAGAGCGCTATGGCTTCTGCAGTCTTTGTTGTTTGTCGTTGCACTGTTTCTCACCCTTAAACAGAGGACTGACTGATATATAACAATGTGTTACTAAAACAAAGAGCATCTTTAGGAAAAAAATACAGAAACATCCCAGAGAAATAAACAATCCAGCAGCCAACTGGCTTCTGGAGTGTGTGTTGTTATGATGGGAGATAGGTCTGAGTCCTGCTCAGTGAGTCTGGAGTCAGGTGTGTGGTGTGGGGTGGGTGTGGGGGTGAGGGTGGGCTCAGTGGGGGATAAGTAGAGGGGTTAGGCTCGTTTTCAGACCGCTTAAAGTTAGAGCTGGGCTTCTGTGTGTGTGTGTGTGTGTGTGTGTGTGTGTGTGTGTGTGTGTGTGTGTGTGTGTGTGTGTGTGTGTGTGTGTGTGTGTGTGTGTGTGTGTGTGTGTGCGTGTGTGTATGTGTGCGTGCGTGTTTGTGTGTGTGTGTGGGTGCGTGTGTGTGTGTGTGTGCATGCGTGTGTGTGTGCGTGCGTGCGTGTATGTGTGTGTGTGTGTGCGTGTGTGTATGTGTGTGTGTGTCTGTGTGTGCGTGTGCGTGCGTGCGTGTGTGTGTGTGTGTGTGTGTGTGTGTGCATGTGTGTATGTGTGTGCGTGCGTGTGTGTGTGTGTGTGTGGAGTAGGGGGTAAGGTTGGGATTACACTGTCACACTGTTCATACTGTTTATGCATACCAGGCCACTGTGAGTGCCTCTTTGTCGCATAAGTGTTTACTTGAATTTATTTTGGGAGAATTCCACATGACTGGGACAGGGATCTCTTTAAATTATGGAATTGAGCGCTTTGTGTAATGATAACTTGTGTCAGTTAGTCGGGCTGTGTGACAGTGTTTTTAGGAGTTTGTAAATACAGCGGTGGTGAAAGAGGGCGAGGGGCGTCTGTGCTGAAAGGTGCTGCACACTTTCCTCCTGAGCACAGCACCAACAATGCTGTTGTTCTTTGTGCGGCTACATATCTACACACTGCTTTTGCACTCTTGAGTTTGTTTGGATTCATGTTGGTTTTAATCATTCATAGGATATCAGTTATTTTGGCATACAGTACTGCTCAAAAGTTTGGAAACATTCTGTTTTCCCAGTGAAAACATGCATGGAATCAGTCTGAATAAGAAACCAATCAAGTAAGTCAGTCAGTTATCAGTCAATAACAGTCATGGTGAGACTTTAAGATTTTAATGGAAATGGTCTTCCAATGTTATTTTAATTAAATAAAACTGCCCCCAGTCTGGCGGACATTTGACATTCAGGCTGTCAGCTCTGTCAGTGAGTCATGGAGGATGGCTGCTTATACTGAGCCAGGATCCTCTGGAGGTTTCTTCCTGTTAAAAGGGAGTTTTCCTCTCCACTGTCGCTGCATGCTTGCTTAGTATGAGGATCTAATCAGTGACTTGATGCAATTTGCTGGGTTCCTTATATAGGAAAAATTATTACTGACTGGCTTAATGAACTGACCTGAATTGGAATGTTTATTATGTGAAGTGCCTTGAGACGACTTGTCGTGATTTGGCGCTATATAAATAAACTTGAATTGAATTGAATTGTAGGTGATCTGAAACGATTACACTAATAGTAATTCTGTGAGCAAAGTGTAGCTGTCTGACATCTATCTGCAGCCATTTTCAAAACTAAAAAGGATCAAGAATCAATTAAATAAATGAGTCAACAGGTTTGAAGCTAACTCTTTAAAGCTGTACCAGTTAGTTGTGCTTCAACATCTTTTTTCTTCAGGCTAACCACAACATGCAACTCTTTCCACGGCAACGCAACATCATCGCTTTGTTGGAAACTTTATTTCTTTTCCTGGTTCATTAGCATAAAAGCTTGCCTCTTTTAAGCATCACGGATTTAAAATGAAGTTTTACTGACACCAGTTTTCAGTTCTGATTATATGTGCATTATTATTATAGTTAGTATTATTATAACTATTGTTTTCCAACAGTCAACCCTAAACCTAACCCTAACCCTAACCCTGTCTATCACAGATCCTCATCAACACAAACAACACAAGGGGGCAGTGCCTTCATGTGCATGATGTTGGGTGTTTTAGGAAGGAAAAAGTGGAATTTAGAGAAAAATACTCACATGCAGGTGGGAAACATTCAAGGTCAATACAGAAAGGTCTTAGTTGGGAGTTGAACCTGCAACCATTTTAGGACAGTTTTCCCTTACACACGGTAGTAGCAGTTAGCTGTTAGCGTTTTAGGCAACTGGTCATATGCTTATGGTGGCGCCAGGGCTCGGCAGTCTCGCTTCTGTCAGTGAGTTCTAGGGCAGCTGTGGCTACATTATGTAGCACATAACAGCCAGGGTGGATGACTGATTGTGTTATGAAGCGCTATTCAAATACAGGCCAATTACCATTTCCAAAGCATGCAACAACACAGGAACTTGAATGTGAATTGAAAGAGCAAACCAAGGTTTGCTGACATAAAATAAGAGCATCCTACAGCGTTGAATCCATATTCAAACCAATAAAACCACAAATATTACTTGATCATAAACACAGCAGCTTTAATTGATGTTATGCATGAGCAGTGTGGTGGCCTGTATTCTGTGTGTTCTGCACACCCGGACAGAGGAAGATAGAGACAGAAAGCTTTAACACTGTGCAGGTTATAGTCGAGTCAAAGTCTGGTTTTGTTGTTGTTTCGTAAAACAAAGAGACAGAGTTTAGGTTTTTATCCTTTTGAAGCAGTTCTTTTTTCCATTATGTGTCCAGCATGCTTGTCAAACGTGTTTTATAATAGCTGCTAGGAAACATGACAAGAAAATGGACTTTGCTGGCAGCCCTCAGCAGTCAAGAAATGATAGAAATATATTAAACTACTTAAACTTGACCCCCCCCCCGGCTTTTAAGGAGCATTTTGCGGTTACTGAGAGTTTATTTAAGTCTTAATGACTCAATGCCAAAACAAAAGCTGAATTATTTGGCGGTTAACTCCAGCACGGCCCTTTTAGGGTCAGAAGGCTCTGCACAGCCAAGCTGTAATCTCAGCCAATGCCTAGATCCAAATCACATGAAATGAAGTTTTGGCTTGTTCTAGGCCTCTTAATGTTTTTAGTGCTGTGTTGGTCATCAGAAATAGATCCACATTTATCCCGACAAAAGCAACTCAAATGAAAGAATCTGACGTTAACTGAATCATCTCTGGATTAAAAATGTGCTTCCTTCTTTACCTTTTATTTATACTGTTTTAACAGTTAATGGAAACATGTTTCAAACATTAAGATTTTCTTGTATATTATGCTTTTAACTCTGTACACATGTATGTAAACATGCATACAGCTAGTGAAGAACTGACACCGTACCATCAAGTGCAGCAGCGCCATCTATGGTCATTTTACTTTCAGCACACCTTGTATTTAATGAGCAAAGTCAACCAGAGCCCTTGACTGTTTCTTCCTTTTAACTTGAATGATAAGCTTCTATTTTAATTAGGCTTTAATTTTAAACCTTTAACTTACAATGAAAATTGACTTTATTTAATGCAGTGTGGAAAAATGACACCAGCACGAGACAGATGAGACCTCACAAAAATACAGAGCAATCAAAAATTTCCAATGTTTTGTCTTTCATTAAGCACTTATTTTTTATTTAATTTCATGCTAAACAGATATTTAAAAAATACAGAAAATAAAAAAATAAACAAAACAAAAAACTAATAAAAAGCAAGCTTGTGTGCAACATTCATACAGCAAACATTAGTGAAGAAAGTCTGACCCATATTATTTTCTTTGGGCGCACTGACAGAGGCGAGGCTGCCAAGCACAGGCGCCACCGGCCCCTCCAACCACTGCCAGCAGGCAAGGTGGGTTGAGTGTCTTGCCCAAGGACGCAACAGCAGGATTCGCTGTCCAGAACCGGGATCGAACCTGCAACCTTCCGATTACTGGACAACCCGCTCTACCTGTTGAACTACTGCTGCCCCAAAACACCCTCTCACTCTTCAATAGCTGTGTGAGGTTGCTGAATATTGACGGGAACTGGAACACGCCGTCATATACGCCGATCCAGAGCATCCCAAACACGCTCAATAGGTGACATGTCTGGTGAGTATGCTGGCCATGCAAGAAGTGGGATGTTTTCAGTTTCCAGGAATTGTGTCCAGATCCTTGTAAAATGGAGCCGTGTGTTATCATTGGTGATGGTCGTAGACGAATGGTACAATGGTCCTCAGGATCTGATCACGGCACCATTGTGCATTCAAAACGCACATGCACCTGTGTTCACTGTGCATAACATACGCCTGCCCATACCATAATAAAATCTGTGGTATAATTATGGCATTTTAAAAATTAATTGAAAAGTTTCATATATGTTTAATGAATGTACAATATTGATGTTCTAGAACTCTTTTGCATTGGTTATAGTTTTTCAAATATTCACACATCACAAATCAAATTCATGAAAAGAAAATTGAACATTGAAACAAATGGGATTTCCTGGTTTTGTACCCTTTAAAACCCAAAATATGTTTTAATATGTATTAGGAGATATGACGAATGACTCACTATACAGGCATGTTCTAAGACTTTTTATTTGAAATAAATAGTTTACAAAAGGAAAATACATTTTAAACTGAGATGATTAGTAGATCTACAAAAGTCAACAAATAGAAAAACGTTCATGCCAAAATGTTCCATCAGTTAAAATGAAGCACACAGCAGAAAAGAAAATACAAGTAAACACGTAGCATTACCCGACAACCTGGTACATTTCTCAGCTAGGAGACATCTTTGAATGCATGTTACTTTTTAAAACCTAAAACAAGTTATTTCTATAAGATGGACCAAAACCATTCAAACGGTTTCCATCTAGAATTCTGTTTTTGTTTGTTCCATACATTTGTGATGCCTCTCAACAGGAGTCTCCATCTCAGAAATCACATACAAACTCCATGTGAAGATCCTGTAGTACTTCCTTCATTGAGCAACCTGAAATCCTAGCTATCTTTGGGGTAATGCCTTTGTGCTGAGACTTGAGGAAGAAAGGCACAGTCTCCAGAGCAGGATTAGATAGGAGTTCAGTCAAAGTGCTTTGTTGCTGAACTCCTCTTAGGGGAGCAGGAAGTAGCACACATTGTTGTGGTTTCTTTTCCTTTACATCAGATAAAGATCTATTTCTTTCCTCTGGTTGAGCTAGCAGCTCCTGAACCCATGCGGGGATGGGAGGGTCCAAAGCTGCAAGCTTTGAGGTGAAAAACTCGTGAAATTCTAATCTACTACCAAGAAACTTCGACATATTCAGGCAGATGTGATTAAAATCTGTTCTGTGGTCAGCATCGCTGCAACCCCAGCCTCGCCTGGTTTTAAAGCTGCGATTGCAAAGGTTTATGGAAAAATGGGGGTGGCGGGGAGAGGCGTCATCAGGTGTACCAACGTGTCAAAACAACTTTTTCTACTTCTAAATCCTGTGTCAGAATGCAAAGACACAAGAGCAACAGTGTGTCTTATCTGAATGTACCAGACGCTGTATAGATGACGTCCTGCACGCTGCAGCACAATTGGAAAACGGCAGCGTTCAACAATCTACCATCTACGCTGGATGAAGAAATGCTTTCTGAGAGTGCAACAAAGTGTGAAAACTCTCATTTGCTCCTCCATCAGAAACAATAAAAGTCTAACATATTTACAGTTATAGAGAGATCAGACAAAATACCCTGCATGGAAAGGTGATACAATCCCTAAAGAAACACACACACACTGAAACAAACAGAGGTAGCTATTTATGAAGTACTAAAATAATACTATCAATGACATGTTACGATTCTACTATTTATAAACGAAAGTTACCAACTTTCCAAGGCCAACCTTAACGGCAAAATGGTCAAAAAACCTCTAAGCAAAGCCACCGCAAAGAAGCAATCAATGTTTGTCGTATTTTTTCTTTAGGGCTGGGACTTGATTAAATTTTAATCTAATTAATTACAGGCTTTGTAATTAATTAATCTCAATTAATCGCATTTTTAAACATTCAGGAAAATGTGCACTCAAAGTAAAACTTTTAATTAAAATTATGAGACAGAGAATCAAACATTAGACATGGTTATTACTGTAAACTAAAGTTTTTAATAAAAATGCATTTTAATTATTCAAATGTCACTGTGTGATATGAAACAAAACCCAAATCAACTAAAATTTATAATTACAAATAGAAAACACCTGCAAAGGGTTCCTGAGCCTTTAAATAGTCTCTCAGTCTAGTTGAATGACTGAAATAAATTTGACTTTGCACCAGATTCTAATTTTTCCAGTTTCACTTGTTTGTATAATTGGGAGTTTTTATTAGCATTTCTACTCATAATGTAGTAAAAACACATAAATAATAATCCTTCAAAATGACAGTAGAACTGGCACAAATATGATCTAGGACTTAAATGTACTAACTTTTAACACCAGAGCAGGCGTGACATATTCTGAGAATGAACAGGAACACTAACTGGTTCCATCTGGATGACTGGAGGATGATGGGATGATCATGGCGAGGAAATAATGATCTGACGAACAGGTGAGCGGACCTTCCTTACATGGGAAGTCCTGCTGTCACGTTAATAAGGGGATGGTGCAGACCCGCAGATTCACGCCTGCAGCAGCGAATCTGGTGTGATCTCCAGCCTGATCACAACTTCCTCGTTCCTCGCTGCCCCTGATACACTTAAGCATCCGCCCCTTAGCTGATGACAGCTTCAACACACCTGCTGCTTAATGATAGTAATACATGTGATGTTAGACAGAGACTCGTCTCAGAAACATATAATTCCCTGACAGAATTGTCTAGAAAATCATCAGAAAAGTTTCAGAGTGTTTCTGTTTTAACTTAAACTTCTGTTTTCAACTTTAAGACACGTTGTTTGTGATTGTTTAGAGTAGTGAGAACACGAAGCGTTCTCCCAGCGGCAGCCAGGTGCCTCTCGTTTGTCTGACTACTTTCATAAACTACTGTTAGGACACAGAATTATTCTGTCTGGTGCTTTCAGCGCTGCACAGATGTTACGTAAATGTTAAAAACATAGCTTACCGCAACTTTTGTAAAGTTCCCGTTGCCACCGGGCAGCCGCAGCAGAGACGATCTCTGAAAAATGTCCGCGATACGGACTCCGTTGTTGTCTGGAATTTTTTTTTTTCCAAGTTAAGAAAAGAGGCGGACGTGTTTCCTAAATCCTGCATCAGTCCAAGCAAGGCAACTTCTTTCTGTTTTTATTCCGTTTTAGTAGCCATTAGCACTGTGCAATGTTGTGTGCGTCAGTGATATTCAGTCTACGAGGAAATCGTTCAATGACAAAGGTTCAGCCGTGCTTGAAATGCAAGCTGCGATTAAATGCGTAATTTTTTTAACGCGTTTTTTTTTCTAGTTAATTAATCGTAATTAACGCGTTAAAGTCCCGGCCCTATTTTTCTTGTCTACGAACTGACCCTGCACAAGTACTTATTTGCCCTGGCAATAAAACAGTATTTGTGTAATTGCGTACTTCCAACATCTTGAGTTAATCAGTCATGTTGAAAAAACGTACTGTAATTCAAGATCAATCAAAATCAGCTGGTACAAGAATCAGAACTCAGCATCAGCCCTGAAAACCAGTCAGCGAATCTCTAGTAATCATGATTTTAATGGTGACTTTTCATAAATGACAGGTTCCATAATGCTAATGTTCCAGTTTGAGATGTTTTGTCATTGAGCTGTTTGTAAACTAAAGATGATACTAACAAAATGTCAAATCACATTGCATCTAACAGCCAGCAGGGGGAGAAACACACGTTATTTTCTCACTTGATTTATAATGCGATAAAAACTTTTCTGAATATATAAATCATTAAAAAATGAAGGTAAAATGAAGTACTTTTCATGTCACGTAGCGGTTCATAGTCAGCTGATTTTTAATTTCCAGTTTTAGGGGACAAAAGGCTGAGCTGAAGCTAAAGCCTGCCACACACAAGAGCCCAGCAGATACCTCGCTGTGTACGGCTGATTTTTGCACCTCACAAGACGCTGAGGTGAATATCTGACCGGTTTGATACTTTCCGCCTCACGGGGGGGTTAAAAACTCACTGTGTGTGCACTATGTGAGCTGCTGGCTGAGCTGAAATATTCTAGTGGCCAATCAAAGCGCATTCTTTGCTCACATGACCTCAAGATGGCAGCCCCCTGTCTGCATGTCAGAAAATAGAACGGAGACAGAGCTGAAAACGGAGGAAATGCCTCTACTACTTTGTTGATTAGGTGTTGCTGCCACCGTCACTTCAAGGTTAGGAAAGTTTGGGTACGGTGGCTGCAAAGGGCCAGGTAAGGAGTTTATGCCAACCTACTCCAAGAAATGCTCCTTGAAAACCCAGAATGCTTGTGACAGTACCGCCGCCTGGATCCTGAATCCTTCGAAAGGGTAGTGGAAACAGTGGGACCATCGACCCGCAGGGTACCGTTTAGTTTATTTTTCGGACACGCAGACGGGGCAGGGGGCTGCTTCTGAATACATCGTGGAATCATGTGAACAGAGAACGTGCTGTGATTGGCCACTAGAATATTTCAGCTCAGCCAGCAGCTCGCGTAGTGCGCCGTTTGTTCAGCAGTTTGATCTCGTGTGCAGCAGGCTTTAGAAATGGTAGTCTATAAAAGTCCATCTGGTTTTCGGTCTGTGGTGGTGATAAACAGATTGTCCCATCCAAATAACACCAGACTAAATCAGTCTGGAAGAATAAACCCTTCAAAGTCCAGGAGACGTACTTAGCTGACGTAATAATGTTTACTAACTTCCTTCTCTCCTCCAGTAATTAGAGCACTTGGTAAAGTTAGGATCCTGAGGAAATGTCAGGTGAGGCCAACGTGGTTTTTATTCATAAGTAAAATAGAATCAATAACTAGCTTTCTGTATTTTTCTAAAATCTTTCTTTACTACAATAAGATGAACCCTGTAATTCATTCCCTTGTGGGTGTCCACCACCAGGACCCAGACCATGCCTAACAGCTCCTAAATGCTTCACAGGCGGTCTAGTGTACAGAGCACCATCAGTAGTTGCGGATGCTGAAGAAGCCCACGCTAGTCGGTGACTCTTTGACTGTGACAGTGACTAGATTAGCAGTGACGTCGGTTACAAACACATGTTCAATCAGGCTGCGTGTGGGCTTCCAGTCCTGGTTCTGGCTAACAACAGAGTGACCCTGTCCAGGATAGGAGGAATCTGGATCAGAGTCCGAGCTACTTTCTTCCTCACCTGTGCTCATTTCTGTCATTTTGGCTTTCTTGCTGCCTTTTGTGGCTATTCTCTCCTGCTGGTTGTGGATCTCCGTACAGGATTTGTCCAGCCTGCCTTGGACTTTGGCAGTCTGGATTTCGTTTACCTCTCTGGCCCGGTCTGCACCAGGCTGGGGCTTTCTGACTGGTGGTCTTCCAGAGGTCACTGGGCTTTTGGGGAGGTTTGCTTCCTGATTCTGTGCGACGGTGGGCTTCCTTGTTGGGTTTGGTGGATTTCTCACACCTGACCCTGGTGTAGACCCATTTCCAGGAGAATCACTGACTTGAGAATG